TTCAACTCTTGCACGGCTCGGATTTGTGTAGGGTCTGCTTCGATACCTCGGTTCGTGACTAGGAAACCCAAAAAATTTTCGGATCCCACGTCGAAGGCACACTTAGACGCATTTAGGCGTAGCTTGTGCTTTTTGAGAATGGCGAACATTTCGGCCAAATCGGACAAATGGTCTGCTTGATGCCGGCTCTTAACCACCATATCATCAATATAAGCCTCCATTGTCCGACCTAGCAGAGGTGCGAACATCTTGGTCACCATCCTTTGAAAAGTTCCCCCGGTGTTCTTCAAACCAAAAGGCATGACTCGGTAGCAGAAGAGTCCCCTTGGTGTAGTAAACGAGGTGATCTCTTGGTCGGGCCCATGCATGGCGATCTGATGGTAGTCGCGGTAGGCGTCCAAGAAATTGAGCCTGTTATGTCCAGCCGTTAAGTCCACAAGCTGGTCTATTCTAGGCAAAGGGAAGTGTAACATGCCCAGGGGGTACCCGCGTGCGTTAAACAGTTCAGACTCCCGAGATCTCTTTGATCTCAAGTTTCACGAGTGCAATGTGAAACGTAGATGAGAGTCCAGATTTGGCAACTTTTATTGAAAATCCATTTTATTTCAATTTTGTCAAAAATGAACTGCGTCATCAGATCTCAGAGTCGTCACCTAATATTTTGGGAAATTAGGAAACCCATGACTCGGTGCCAAGGCCACTGTTCATCGTAACCAAGGATGCTTGGCTCGAAACCTTAGGTATGAGAGGGGAAGGTCAATAATGAGCACCCCCGCTCACCCGATCAAAAGATCGGCCTCTACTAAACTATGATATGATTTTTTATTTTCTTTATATGTTCATGTTCTGATTATTGAATAAATCCTAAAATTTACTATGTGAAGCATACAAGTATAGACTAGTTTGCTCAAATTGTCACAATTCAACTTCATGTTTGTTTTTCGAAAAGGGTTTGAATTTGCCACTTGACAAAGTGGGCTTAAAGTTTGTGAATTTGCCACTGCAAAGTGGGCTTAAAACGTGCATTTATTGAATTATTCCAATTCAAACAACAAGCCTTCATTCACAGGCATTCATACAGTTATATCAAATAAGCAAGTAGCCTCATGGTAGAATACTAACACATAGTAAGAAAAACACACACAAATGGGATGCTAAAGCATAAAAACTCACAGATTGACCGACGTCCCTCGAACAACTACAAAACAAAGTTAGTAAAAATATGCATGATCTTATATACAGAATCCTAATGCAATTCACTCATGAGATGCACTAAAGATTCGACTTCTAAAATATGGCATGTGAATAATCTCAATAACATGAGGTAGCGCATAGAATCACAGAAGAATTGATTAAATCCACATATGTAAATGTAGCCGAATCTTAATGCATGAGACATGAATGTAAAGGTATAGACATGCATGGCATGTCAGATATATACATATGTACAGTTAGATAAAGCGATTAAAGAATGGGATAGAAAGAAACGAGGTGAGGAGATTATTACAACACTTTAAATATTACAGATCCAAATAAAAGAGGAGGAAGAAATAATAAAACAAAATAAAACCTCACAAAACACTCAAAATCAAAATAAAAAAAAATAAAAGTTTGAAATCCCCGGCCATTCATCAACTTGCAAATAACCATCGGTCCTCATGCCTCGGCCCATGTATTCATCGTCAATGGAGGCCCCATCAACACTTAAACAAAACCGGCCCACTGTCAAGTCGGCCCACCGGCCAATCAAAAATGCACCAACCTAACGTGAATGACATCCACATGAGTTATTATTCGAAGCAACAGCCGCACTTCGGAACAATAATGCACATGGTATCACTAGAAACTGGGCAAAACCAACACCTGCAGCAACACTAAGAAGCAACAATTATATCAACTTGATTCAAGCATGTATGTCTAACACCATCACAAAGTTTCCTGGGTAAGAAAACCGACTTCGTGTGCATGAGAAAGAGAGAGAGGTGCCGAGAGGGAGAAGATGAGAGCCCTTCCTTTCCGTGTGTGTGTGTGTGTGTGTGTGTGTTAGAGATAGATAGAACCAGAGAGAGGAAGAGATTGGTGGTCTATTCGGTCTTGCAGCCCGAAACCCGGAGAGAGAGATAGAAGTTGGTTTTGCATGGAGAGAGAGAGAGAGAGAGAGCTGTCATGTGTGTGTGTGAGTCCCCGTATCCATGTGTGCTGGGTGTGTGAAAATCTATCAATGTGTATGCATGTGTGTGAATGTATATTGACTGTGTGTATGTGTGCCTCGTGTGTGTTATGTGTGGGTGAAGAACCAGCCTGAGAGAGATCAAGTTCAGAGAAAGAGAGAGTGAGCTGAAAAATGGCGAGAGACCGCATGTGTATGGATCTTCCCCTCTCAAAACCGTGTGTCTGTGTGTCTATCCTGTGTGCCGTGTGATCTCCATGGGTGTGTGTAGTGTGATAGCAGCCCCCAAAGAGAGAGGTGAGCTTGTGTGTGTATGTGTTCAGCGTGTATGCATCTGCTGGATGTCCCTCTTGGTTGTGTGAATGTGTATCAATATGTATGCATGTGTGTTTTAAGTGTGAGAGAGAGCTGCGTGTTGTCTGTCTGTGTGTGTAGCAGTGGCTGGGTTTGCCGTGTGTGCATGTGTAGTGTGAATGGTGTGTGTGCATGGGTAGTGTGGTGTATGAAGTGTGTGGGTGATGAGTGCGTGGCCTCTCTCTCTAAACCCATGTGTGTGTGTTCAGTGGTGAATGGGTGTGTTGAGTGATGTTGTGCATGTGTGTTGGGATGGCAGTGGTGGTGTGGTGAGAGTGTATGTTGTGCATGTGTGTGGTGTGCTGCTGCCGTGAGTGTGTGTGCAGTGTGTATGTGTGGAGAGAGAGACCCAGCTAGAGAGAGATGAGACTGAGAGCCTTTTTGCATGTGTTGTCCTCCCTTCCCCGTGGCTGCTTCAAACAAGTTGGAAAATATAAAGAGAGAGATTTTTTAATTGTTTATCACCTACTATGCCAACAATCATAAAAAATCCACACCCCTGGTGCCCACAGACCTCAATTATTCTGAAGAGGGAGAGATAGTGTGTTTGTTAGGTGTCTCCTCTCCACCCACTCTCACCTGCCCTCCTCTTTTTTCAATTTCCTCCACCACTTTTCAAACTCACTTCACCGAATTATTTTCCACACAAAACTTATCATCACAATGTCCACTCTGTTCCCCTTTGAATCCAGCAAAAACAAAATCCTTTTCCATCCCAAAACCCATTATCCTCATCTGACCCTCTCTTTTTCTTTTCTTTATTTTCTTTTTTATTTTTTATTTTTTTGTTTTTTTTTATTATTTTATATAAAAAACAACTAAAAATGTGTACACACACATAAAATTAGATAAAAAAATTATAAAAACAAATTATAAAATACTACAAATTGATAGAATATTAGTGATATAAAATAATTTGACCAAAATAGGTGAGGTTTGGGATTAAAGCTTCAATTTGATTTTTCGGCTGAGAAATTCATAAAGTGACATATTCTAATTTTTATCAGGGGGTGGTCAAAAGAAAGTGCCCAAGTCTTAGGGCCGGCGGTGTGTGCAGTCTGTCTGATCACCTGCGTACACAACAGCAGTGAGCTACCCGGCGGTGTGTGGCCGAAAAACCCCTCCGACGACCAAGTTAGCACACACCTGAGGATAAAGAGAGTGAGGAGAGAGTTGAGTGTAAGTGTTTCTCTTACCAAATGTTTATGCCCAGCATGGGGGGCGCAGATATGCTTATATACCTTCTGCGCCCCAAATCTACTCCCAGTGATCTCTCGACACGTGGTTCTGCTACCCCATCTGTCAGCACAAATCTTGCTGAACCTCACCTAACCCGACTGCCAGCCCAATCTTCTGGGAGCTCAGCAGCCGGGCTACAGCATCTCGGCAGTCAACGGCCATGCTGCGATTCATGCCCAGGTTCCCCCAACAACCGAGCTCATTTCCAGCCATGCTCAACTGCGTTCCGGCGAAGCCAAGCTTGAGATTAGTCATATTGGTCAACCAAAGTCCTTCCTGCCGAGCTTCAGGCATGAGCCTTCACGCCGAGCTATGGATGCGTGCTTTCCAACCGCGCAATGCATAAACCGTGGAACCCTTACTTGACCGGCCTCCGTGCCGACAAGGTGAAGTAGCTCGGTTCCACATGCCCTTGCCATTGCCGAACAAAAATCACTTCTGGGTGGACCTGGGATACCACGGCCCAAATGTGTTCGGCCCACAATTTGCCTGGTATTACCATGGCCCAATCCAGACCATATTTTTCCTTCTCACATATTCTGCCAAAATCTCTGTCAGATACTACGGATACTGGAACTCCATGTAATTTCACAATCTCATTGACATACAAATTAGCCAATTTATCTGCATTATACAAAGATTTGATAAGTAAAAAGTGAGTAGATTTTGTTAGATGATCAACAATAACCAAAATAAAATCTATACCTCGAGAAGAACGAGGCAATCCCATAATGAAGTCCATAGTAATATGTTCCCACGTCCATTCCGGTATTGGAAGCGGTTGTAGTAACCCAGCGGGTCGTTGATGTTCGGCTTTAACTTGTTGGCAATATAGACATCTAGCCACAAAGTTTGCAATACACTTTTTCATTCCTGGCCACCAGAAATTTTGTTTTAAGTCATGACACATCTTTGTATTTCCTGGATGCATAGAAAATTTCAAATTGTGAGCATCAATCATGATGCATTTTCTCAAGTTAAAATAGTCCGGCACATATAGATGGTTCTGGAATTTCAACACATCATTGTCAAGCGCAAATCCCAGTTTCGGTTTTGAATCAATCTCATCAACAATTTTCCTCAAAGACTCATCTTTGCATTGTTTCTCTTTAATCTCTTCAATGATTGCAAGCTGAGCAGAAATGACAGCTAAGATTCCGCCATGTTCACGCATCATAATCTCAATCTCATTCTTTTCCAGGTCACACAACAATTCCTTTCGGCTGGTGAGCAAACATCACAAATTCTCAATGGATTTTCGGCTTAATGCATCTGCAATAGTATTTGCCTTCCCTGGATGATACAGAATTTGTAAATCACAGTCTTTGATCAAGTCTAGCTACTTCTCTGTCTCATGTTCAGTTCTTTTTGGGTAAAGAAGTATTTTAAGCTTTTATGATCAGTATACACTTCACAAGTTACTCCGTATAGATAATGGCGCCAAATTTTCAAAGCAAACACCACGACTGCCAGTTCAAGATCAAGAGTTGAGTAGTTCTTTTCATGAGAACAGAGCTGCCGAGAGACATAAGCAATTACATTCCCATTCTGCATTAGCACACAACCCAAACCTTTGTAGGAAGCATCATTGTAAATCTGAAACCCATCAATTCCGTAGGTAAGGTTAAAATTCGTGCAGTTACCAGTCTAGTTTTCAATTCCTAGAAGGCTGACTCTCGTTGATCATTCCAATCAAATGGTGTATTTTTCTGTGTCAACTATGTCAATGGCATAGCAAGTTTTGAAAAGTCTTTCACAAATCGACGATAATAGCCTGCAAGCCCCAGAAAACTTCTAACTTCTGACACGTTGGTCTTGGTCAATCCACAATGGCTTCGATTTTGTGTAGGTCAATAGAGATACCATCCTTGTTGGTCACATGTCCCAGAAATGTCCAACTGTCAAGCCAAAATTCACATTTGGAAATTTTTTTATAAAGCTTCTTTTCTCCCAGAGTTTGTAACACGGTTCTCAAGACTTCTTTTCTCCCAGAGTTTGTAACACGGTTCCCAGAGTTTCTGCTCATCAACAATTTTCCTCAAAGACTCATCTTTGCATTGTTTCTCTTTAATCTCTTCAATGATTGCAAGCTGAGCAGAAATGACAGCTAAGATTCCGCCATGTTCACGCATCATAATCTCAATCTCATTCTTTTCCTAACAAATTCATCCAGGTATGATTCAGACACCCTGTTCATAAGGCCCATGAAGGTAGTAGGTGCATTAGTTACCCCAAACGGCATTACTAAAAATTTATAGTGTCCGTATCTAGTTCTGAATATAGTTTTCTCTATATCTTCCGCATTAACTTTTAACTGGTGATACCCGAATCTCGGATCTATCTTGGAGAACACTTGTGCTTCCTGAAGTTGGTCAAATAGATCATCTATTCGGGGCAATAGATATTTATTCTTGATAGTTACTCTATTCAGTTCCTGGTAATCTATACATAGTCTCAAGGACCCATCCTTCTTCTTAACAAACAAAACTGGAGCACCCCAAGGTAAAGTGCTCGATCGGATGAATTTCTTGTCTAACAGTCCTTGAAGTTGGGTTTTCAATTCTTTTAGTTCTGAGGTTGACATTTTGTAAAGGGTCTTAGAAATTGGTTGCGTTCTCGGTGTCACTTCAATAGTGAACTCAATTTCCATATCAACTAAGTCTCCGAGCAAGTCATTCGGAAACCCATCGGGAAATTCACAAACAACAAGAATAGTTTCTAAATTAGTATCATCAGATGATGCAGTCAATACACAACACAAGTAGCCTCCACATCCCTTCCTAAGCAATTTAACAACTTTCACAACCGAAATCAAGTATAGGGGAGGGACTACTCCGTTCCCAGTGAAAACAAACTCAGGCATACCAGGTGGACGAAATACAACAAATTTATTCACACAGTCAATAGATGCACAATACTTTGTTAACCAATCTATACCCAAGATGTAATCAAAGTGATCAATGCTCAAAGGTAGCAAACCAACGTATAACGTCATATCACCAATCAAAACATCACATGCCGGATATACATATGCACATACCATAGAACCCCCAGATGGCGTAGATACAGACAATAAATAATTCATGGATTCTAAAGGTCTAGTTAGTTTTCAAGAAAAGGCATGCGACACAAATGAGTGTGTAAAACCAGAATCTATCGAGACATATGCATTCTGGGCACAAATGGAAATTATACCTGACACCACAGACTCGGTGTTCTATACATCTCCGGGTACTAGTGCGAACACTCTCCCTTGCCTCAACGTTTCATTGTCAATGTTACCCCTAGCATTAGTTCTTGCATTTGATCTTGCTGTAGAACAGACCTGGCTGAACTTGCCACAGGACGGCTAACCTCATTGGATCTCATCGGGCAATCCCTAACCATGTGGCCAGTCTTGCCACATCGAAAACACGCACCTGATGCACGATAAGATGCACCTTTATGCTTCCTTCCACAGTCAGGGCAGTTTGGAGTAGTTTCACTACTTTAACTAAAGCTACTGGAAGATCTTGTATTTTGCTTATTTGAAAATGATCGACCCTTCTTAAAATGGGATCCCGATCTCTTATTTCTCTATTTTGTCATTGGAGTTGTAGCTTGTTTCTTGGTTGCTATTATGGCTTCTGCCATCAATGCCCTGTCAAGCACCTCCACATAAGTAGGCAATTTCAGAACGCCTACTTGATCAAATATTTCCAAGTCTAATCCTCCCTCAAACTTTCGTGCTTTCTTATAAGTTGTATCCACCATGTGAGGAGCAAATCTGGCCAACTCGGTGAACTTAGCCTCGTACTTAGCTACGGACATCTTCCCTTGCTGAAGTTCTTGAAATTCAGAAACTTTTCAGTCCCTGAAGCATTGGGGAAAGTACTTGTTATAGAATATCTCATTGAATTGTGCCCACGACATGTCCCCGTTGTTACTTTGAACCAACAACCACCATTTTCAGGCTTCATCCTTTAGGGTATAGGTAGCCAAAAGTACTTTTTGAGTTGCAGAACAAGGGAATACTTTGAATAATTTTTCCATTTCTAGCAACCAGGTTTCTACCTTCAATGGTTCAAGGCCACCTAAGAAGGTCGGCGGTTTCATTTTCATAAATTTCTGAGTCAAACTGATGATGTCATTATTGCCCAGTTCAAATAACACTGGCGGAGACGGAGAAGGCAACGGTTATTGTCTCAATTGCCGCGTAATGGTTTCAGTCAAAGCCGCAAGCACTGTTCCATTCTGTTCATTCGGGCCTCAGAAGATTCACTTGTATCACTTCTCCTTGCATTCTCCATGTTGCTATAGCGACACCAAGTAATAATAAACATAGGAATAATCTTATTCATTTCTTTCAATTTTTATTTGTCCAAATTCAAATTCAGTTTTCGCGCATTTAGGAGATTACCACACACTCACACATGCAAATGGCATGCCCTAACTTCTTGCTAGGACATCCTAAGCTCATATGGACTCGTGTTTGCGGTAAAACACGTGCTTTGATACCACTCTGTTACGATCCAAACCCGTCCCTATAGGTTTAGCATCGTAACCGACCAGTAATCCTCGGATTATCAGAGGCCTTTGAACAGAATAGCATATAATCAAGGGGCTGCGGAAGTAAATATACAAAATACGACGTCCATTGAGCTGTGCAGACATACATGGGACAAAATAATTTTAAACTTTATAAGCATACATATGACATCACACAGATACAGTAATTGTACGTCACCCCATATACAAATAACCAAAAACAAACTGTTCATTAAATAAGAGAAAAACCAAGTGTTGAACGTTCAAAAAGACATGGCCACATGGCTTGACTTCATCCAGAACCTCCTCGAGAGGCGCAAAAGGTGGCTAACAAAATAGAACTCCAAGCCATCAACCTTGAGCCTGGTCAGGCGCCCGGTCACCTACATACATAAATACTAGAGTGAGCGGAAGCCCAGTGAATAATAACAAGGTAAAGAGTTTAATGAATGATACTCATCTTAGAGTTAGAAAATAGAGTTTATATCTGAAACAGATTCTTATGTATATTCAAATTTCAAATCAGAACAAATTCAGATTCACATGATTATCCAGAAATCATAATAATTATAAGTGGTACATCTATTAACTATCCATCAACTTAGTCCTAAGACTCGTATGTACAGTTGGCACTGACGACCACAAAGGTCCATATCTTGTGCACAAGTAGCTATGGTATTGCTACCCCCAGGCGAGGGCCACGTGAATATAGGCCTCGGTATTGTTACCTCCGAGCTAGGGCCACGTGAACATAAGCCACAGTATTGTTACCCCTGGGCGAGGGCCACGTGTATATCAGCCACAGTATTGTTACCCCCAGGCGAGGACCACGTGAACTATGGATACCACAAATACATTTCAAAAAAATGGATATTCATTCATGATTCATAAATAGCATTTCAGAGAACAGTTCATATCATTTCAGTCAAAAAATACTTATAAGTAAACATAGCTTTACAAGGATATTACTTACAATTAACAGATGGCTTCAAGGCAAATAGACAAAATGGGCAAATCAGACGTCTTGTGGTGCGTGACCTACACGTACATAGCAGAAACACATAATGAAACACACCCTTAGTTGGCGCTTAATTTCTTTTATTTCATTCTAGTGTGTTTCTAGATCTTAACCTCTTAAGTCTTAATCATGGCCTAGGATAGAATAAGGATGCAAAAAAATGCATTTGAAAACACTTGGTCAAATTTTTTGAAACAGGGTCCCACACTACAAGAAAAAACACATTTGGCGACTAAATTTTTAGTCGCCAAAAGTCAATTTTTAGCCGTCAAAAGTCGATTTTTAAGTTTCCCCGACTAAATTTTTTAGTCACCGGTTTGGTCGCTGCTAAACGGTCGGGAAAGGTATTGGCGAGTAAAAAACTTTTAGTCGCCAAAAAACAAGTCTTTAGCAACTAAAACTTTGGTCGCCAATAGTCAATTATATTTTTTAAATTATACATTTGGCGACTAAATTTTTAGTCGCCAATAGTCAATTATATTTTTTTAAATTTTACATTTACCGACTTAAAATATAGTCGCCAATACTCAAGGAATCGGCGACCAAACAGATTTAGTCGCCAAAAGCTCAGTTCGAAAAAAAAAAATTACACCTTGCCCTTGTAGAGATTCGAACCATCAACCTCCCACACCATAAATCTTATACAACACACTCCTTCCACTACACCTCCATAACATCATATGATTTTATATGCAACATATATTATTTATATAGTACTTAGACTCGTATTAATATATAAGTATATATATAAACATAATTATTTTTTATTGAACATAATTTATGTAAAAATAAATTATTTAGTAGAAAAAAAAAAGCGACCACTTTTGGCGACTAAACATAATTTTAGTCGTCAATTCTATACTTTTGGCTACTAATTATTTTTTAGTCGTTAAAAAAAATTTCCCGCACTAAAAATACCACTTTTGGTGACTAAACTTCTTTTTAGTCACCAAAAAGCCTCACTTTCGGCTACTAAACATGTTTTTAGTTGCCGAATGCTTCACTTTTGGCTACTATTTTTTTTTTAATCGCCAAATTAAATTTGGCTACTAAAATTTTTTTAGTCGGTAGAAAGCCTTGCTTTTGGCGACGAAACAGATTTTTAGTCGCCGAATGCCTCACTTTTGGCTACTAAATTTTTTTTAGACGCCAAAAGCCTTTACTTTTGGCTACTAAATTTTTTTTAGTCGCTAAAAGCCATATATCGGCAACCAAACAGATTTTTAGTCGCAAAAACCTATACTTTTGGCTACTAATGCATTTTTAGTCGCCAAATGCTATACTTTCAGCGACGAAATGTGATTTTTTAGTCGCTAATAGTGCTTTTTCTTGTAGTGCCAGCTTGAGCGTATCTTCCCCCACTCGAGCGGACATGCATTATCTGAGGGACGCTCGAGCGCAACTTTCCATGCTCGAGCACTCTGCAAATTTTGAAAAAAATACTAGTTATGTGATTTTCTCGCCCGACGGACGCTCAATGGTCGCTCGAGCGTGAGGCTTATATCCCTGCTCGAGCACAACTTTTGCCGCTTGAGCGATCTGCAAAAACATGAAACTTCTGGGAGTATGTATTTCAAGCTCGAGCAAACTTTTGGTCGCTCGAGCGAAAATGCAAAACAAAGGTTGCCGCTCGAGCGTAGAATCTCACGCTTGAGCCAAAGTGCAGAATCTGGAATTTCCAGATTTTACTCCGAAGCTCCAAATTCAAATCCAAAGCTAGAATTCATATCCTTTTGGGCCCAAAACTTAAGATAACATGTGTAAACATGTAAAATGTGAAGGTGTAAAGATCATTTCATGAAATCAAGGCCCAAAAGTATGTCAATTGTGCAACATTCAACTTGAATTCTAAAAACATGATATGAACATGTCATGCATTTATAATTTGATTTCATAGCTTCCCAAAACATGATCAAATGAAATATTCAACTCAAAAACATGGTGAATTCTTAGACTACAACCAAAATATGAACATGCATGTGAGAATTCTTCTAAAAACAACTTCAAAACTTCATAATATGGACATGCATGTATGATTTGAATTACAATTCTTTAATCCTAGCTCATTCTCATTTTAGTCCACCTCTTTAACTTGAATTCTTACAAAAACTAACTCAATTACACAACTAAGGGTTAGATTCCTTACCTAGGCTTGTCAAAATGAGAGCTAGAAGCTTAATTTTGAGTTTTAAAGTCCAAATCCTTTAATTCTAGTAAATTCTTACTCAATTCTTCTATCCTCTAGTTGAGATCCAACTTCCTTCTCTCTCTCTCTCTCTCTCTCTCTCTCATGTTGAGCTCAAAGATGAGGAAATAAGGGTGTCAAAAATGTGTAGGAGAGATAGAATTGGCCTTATATAGGCCCACTTAGTGGTATTTAATTAATTTGGCTTAAGCTAAGCAAAATGGTATTAATTAATCTAATTTAATTGTTCCGAATCGAATTTCAATTGAACCTACCTTAAAATTCTAAAAATTCTAATTAACACATAAATCAAGTCAATTTCTGAATCAGATGCCGATGAGGCCTTCAATTCACA